CAAATGAAGCTTCATTCATATTACATGAGTTATTACATGAAAATATCAATAAGAAAAATTATGTGAAAGTTTATTAATATTGGCTATAAGGGCGATGAAAGCAGCAAGCCAAAAGAAAGAAAAAACGCTGTATTTTAAAGAAAGTGAAAGGTAGCTTCATCTACGATAAAAAGGGTGTGTAAAGTATGATTTATGTTATATAAAATTTTATTTGCATAGATAAAGAATTCCATGGAAAAATGGCTACAAAAATGTATTGATAGCTCAGGCTGATGAAATTTTAAGTAACTTCTACTGTTTTTATATTTTCTATAATGTATGACAGTTTTAAATAAATATATACATTGTTTATGTAATAAAAACAATAAGGCTGCCATTGTTGTGAGAAGCAATTCATGGAGTGTCTACTAATGTGACTCGTCTCTGGGATTCAATGTAGTGAATATTCACCTGAGTTCTTCCTTTTACTTTGAAGACACATTAATAATTCTTCAAATAAAAATCAGTTTGACGGCCGGGTGCAGTGGCTCACGCCTGTAATCCCGGCACTTTGGGAGGCCAAGGTGGGTGAATCACGAGGTCAGGAGAACGAGACCATCCTGGCTAACACGGTGAAACCCCGTCTCTACTAAAAATACAAAAAATTAGCCAGGCGTGGTGGCGGGCGCCTGTAGTCCCAGCTACTCGGGAGGCTGAGGCAGGAGAATGGCGTGAACCCGGGAGGTGGAGGTAGCAGTGAGCCGAGATCGCGCCACTGCCCTCCAGCCTGGGAGACAGAGACTCGGTCTCAAAAAAAAAAAAAAAAAAAAAAAAAAAAAATCAGTTTGAATGCTGGAAGAGGAGTGATAAGTGAACACTGACTGTCAGATTCTATAGTAAGAATCCTTTTTAAGGTCTCTCACCTGAAGATCTAGGTGAAAGGGCTTTGGCAATGAGCCTGACCCTCAGGTTTATAGCCCCTTTGGTCCTTACCTCTTGGCTGCAACAAGAAAGGTAAGACGGTATCTCTTACTTCAGTCAATCATTTTATAAGGGGGACTAAACAATGGTCTGGATGAGTCAGTGAAAATCAATTGCAATGATGGAAAACCCATCTAAGAAAAAATGTCCTAGAGCCAGTGAGTCAGAGCCAGCCCCTCTGCACATGAAAGATTTCAGTCTGTGTTTATTGACACAGAGGGTGGTTTTAATTACCCTGAAGGAATTTCTGGCATGTTTTGCCAAAGCCAGTTTTAAAATGTTTAATCAGTGGATTAGTGACTATCGGACCTACTGGAGAGGTCTGCGCATGGGGCAGCTGGGCAAGTGTAGTGTATTGCAATGAGGCTGTTAGTGACAGAGTATAGGTACATTTTGTCAGAGAAACATGGGAGAATACTACCATCCACTCATGAGACGATCTTGGCTTTAGAAAGTGTGGTGTGTTTTCTGTGTCAAAGGCTTGATTTCCTTCCTTGGTTTCATGAGCTAAGCAACCTCATGACCTCTGTTTTTGGTATACTGAAAAGGGAACATGGTTAAGATGGTCTAGAGCCAGAGTTTGAGTGATTAATCAAGCAATCAGTTCAAGCCACAACTAGCAACTTGAAAGAGTGAATATGTTTTTCTAAATTTCATAGGCCCAGGGAGAATGTATACTTAAAATAGCATGATTGCTTTTGTTTTACCTATTTGTGTGGACCTATAAAACATTTCAAGATGAGAGCTATAAAAGGAAAAGCAGAATGGTGGTGTCACATCACAAAGCAATTTTAATCTGCTAGATACCTTGAAAGGAAACCATAGCCCAAGATAAAGGTAAAATCACCAGAAAAAAAATTGTTTTCCTGATTTTTGTGTCTTTGCTCTTATATCTTTTGGTTGAATCTCTCCAATAAGATGTAAAAATACTTAATAGTGCTAAATACCATATTTTCTTCATCTCTCCAAGGTAAACTTCAGATAGAATTTCTCTTTTTTCCTTACACAAAACTGTCTTTCATACTACCTCCTTTCCCTGATGTTTTAATCTACAGATAGGCCATGTTCTACTCTCTAATGTAGACAAGCAAGAGACTTGGCACCTTGAAATTTGAATAGAAACCCAAAGGCATCTTTGCTACATTGAGCCCATGTTGTTGAGCTGCTATTTATGTACTGTTCATTTACATGGTAGTTTAGTGATATTCCTCGTTGCTTTCACAGAAAGGTTTCTCAGGCTATTTCATACCTACATGAACTTATCTGGGGGTTTGCCAAGTTTACTGGCTCTTGACTCCTTCTTTTTATAAGATTTTTGTTTTGGGTTTAGAAGTACATGTGCAGGATTGTTAGATCTCTAAGTTGCATGTCACAGGGGTTTGCAACATGCAGATTATTTGGTTACCCAGGTCATATTTTACTCTCTTAACCATCAAAACAACTGATCAAATAGTTCACTTGTCTTTGGCACTGCTGATAGTTTTCAACTCTAAAGAATTCCCCCTTCCTCTGGCTTTTAAATTAGTTCATCAGTAAACCAACTTCACCAAACAGGTTGATACATTAGCAGCTAAATATTAGGCAAGGAAGGAGTTATATAAAGTGGTAATGCCATCTTGTACTTGTGGAGGGGTTTGTATTTCTGCAAAGTATTTTCACAGCTCTTGTTTACTCTGCACAACAAACATAAAGAGTAAATTGCCTTTCTTCTCATTTTCTCAGTTAGAAAACTGAGATCCAGTGGAGTTAATCAACTTGCCTATGATCACATGCCAGTTTATGGTGGAGAGAAGACTGAGGTTTAGAGACTGATTCATAAAACCAAGCTCTTTCTGTGATATCAGAATATGAGATAAATCAATAAACTCCTAACTAGATGAAATCTTACAGTCTTGGAAAAAAGTGCATCTGCTTGCTGACTCTCTGTAAGGCATTGACCACTAACATTTTTAGCACAAGTTTCTTTGGGTGGAACAACTTGGTGTGCCTTACACCTTTGATTTTGGGGCTTAGGCAGGGTTGTGTCTCATTCCTAAAGTCACTCATTGTTACTCTTGCCAAGTGGAAGAGTCTCTGGAACCACATTCCTGGACAGTGGTGCAAGCCTTAAAGCGCTAGGGTTTTGGTGATAATAAAGAAAAAGCCAATGGATTTAGTTCTATGTCATGGCTGTATATTGCGCCCAAATATCTAACTCACAGATATCTACCATTTGGAATCAGCAAGAAAATAGGTAAAAACAATGGATTGATCATCACCAACACGATTCTGATCCCCAGAAACTAACATAAGGACAGAAAAGCAACATTTACTGAGTATTATGTGTATTTTTTGCCTCATTTCCATTTTATTATGTAAGCAGTGAAATCTTTGATAAAAAGATGAGCTCATTACTTAAATCCTCTTACTGCAGTTAACCCTATGTAAACCTAAGACAATAGTAGTAACTACCTTCCATGGTTGTTGTGAGGATTAAGTGATATAATACTTGTATATGGCTAGTTCAGTCCCTGACACAGATTAAGCATTCAATGAGTAGTTGGTTGTTTTTAGTAGTTTTAGATGAATTAAGTGGTCATAAGCATTATTTGCAATGGACTATGTGCACTTTTACGCTCCCAACCCTAGAGTTTAGAATAATGTGAAAAAAAGTAGTCAAGAAAACAGACTCCGGAGATGACTGGGTTTGTATCCTGGCCCCATCACTTACTAGTTCTTGGGCAAGTTATTTAACCTCGCTAAGCTCAGGTGCCTCATCTGTGAAATGAAGATAACAGTGCTTAACCTCATAAGGCTATTGTAAGTATTAAAAGTAACAGTGCCTGTAATGTGCTCAGGACAGTCCCAGGAACATAGTAGGTAGTAATTGCTAAATGATATTAGGCTGTATTTTCATTAATATTAGTACACTTATGTATATGCCTTAAGATATTACTGTTGAAAGACAGTTGTTCACAAAACAGAGGACAAATAAGTTAATACACTAACCTTAATCTTTGATCCAGTATCAGTACTGGCTGGTGGTGATTTGATCTCCTTTAAATAACAAACATAATCTGTTAGGTTGGATTCTTGTGTCAATCTAAACAAACTGCTGCCTTTTTCTGAATATGAAATAAAGCATTGAGGAAAATAAAATTCATTATCTGCTCCATGCACCATCAGGATATTTAAGGATAATAACTTTAAGATACTAAAAAATTAACAATAATGGATTAATTATGAACCTTTTTTTCTATATTAGTGGTATGTTGAAGCTTTCCATTAAGGCCTTTTTTTTTAATCTTACATGTTTATTTTGAATATTTCTTCTTATATTACCTTGTTCATAGCTTCTCATAGGGTATAACCTCTTAACTTCTGAACTCTTTCAGAGAAAGGGGGCTATTTCTAATGAGTGAGGTGACTTGCTTCTGCTCCTGAATAGTTCCTATTGCATAAAAGTTGTTCTGCACCAGAGCATCCTCTCTTTCACCCACTGCTCCTAGCCCTGCACCATAAAACCTTACCCTAAACACTGAGTATCCTGTCCACAGGACCCCGCTTTGGCTATATGAAGCCAGCCCTCCTAATCACTACAGCCTCTTCAAAACTCCCTAGATGCCATACAGCAGCTGTTTTCAAACTTTAACGTGCATTATTAGAACCACCTGACGTGTTTGTTAAAGACAAACTTCCAGGCTCCACCCCGTCAAGCTTAGAATAGGTCTGTAGGCCTGTGAGTTTGATTTTTTCAGTTTCCCAGGTAATCCTACTGTTGCTGATGATGATCACGAGCAACACTTTGAGACCCACGGCTCTACGTCTGTCTTCTCAAGCGAGAAAACAGTTCATTTCAGGTCGATGGGGCTGAGGCAAGGGAGCTTTTACAGTGTTGATTGTGTTACCTTGTTAGCCTGGATTTTGACGGGCCAGGAGCAAACTCTCCCAAAGAGATGGTAGGGGGTATGTAGAGAGTGTGTAAATGCACCTGTATGTTACCAAAAGTTGAAGCATCGCTACCTCCTGGAGTCTGGATCTGAACCCCATGTTTGTCACAGGAGCCAAGGGAGAACCCAAGACAGAGAATAGTGGCACAATAATGAAGCATGAATTATCCAGATGAAAACACCTATGGAAATAAAGGTATTCGTATTATTATTTATACCTACTCTTCTTGATAAAGTAGCAGTATAGAAGTGTTAAATAGTTCCAATTGCTTAAAAGTTGTTCCGTGGGACACAAATAAGTTAATTTACATTTTTAAAATAATTATTGTACATAGGAAGCATAATTTGATTTATTGTTTTAAGAACAAGAGCATATTTTGACCAAATGTACATGGGGATGATACATTATCATTGGTTATAAAATTACCAGGAGAGAAAGTGTTGGCTAAACAAGAATAGAGCCTGCTTTATTGATATTAGGTTTGTCGAATAAACTAGAGAACAAGGTAAATGTATTAACTGCTCAAACAAAGAAAAAGAGCTTTTGGGGTCAAGAGGCAAAGAAAGACAATATGGGCATCTTACTTTGAATATAACGAAAAATAAAAGTATCACTGAACGGGTAATTTCCAATGAGAAAATAGATCTAGAAATCACTGTGTAGGAAAAAACAACTTCTCATCTGTATCAAATATTCTAAAGTCCTTTCATTATTAACTCCTAAGTAGTTACACTTGATTTGGATGAAGCAGCATGGAGGCTTCTGCTAGGCTTTTTTATTCATTTCTCAATACAGTGTGTGGTGAGGCTTTAGCTTTACAGCCTCCACATTTGGCTATGTTTTGTGGTAATGGAAAATAAAATTTAATCCAAAAGAACTGTATTTTGATTTAAGAAAAAGAATCTCTTTAGAGGTGGAGTTTGTAACAGAGTTTGTATGAACCCTGAGACAGATCAAAGAGTACAACATTCAGAAGAGAAGAGCTCCCTTTAATAAAAGGAACGAAGGGGGAAAAAGGCTCTAGATAAATATTTTATCACAGAGCTAATGAAATGTAAAAGGTGGTCACAGATCAAAAAGGGAAGAAAACAAAAAGCAGGTATGTGTGTATGTGTATGTATATTGTGTATGTGTATGCATATGTGTATGCATATATGTTTGTGAATATTCTCCACCAGACTATGGATAAAGATGTGTGAGGCATTTGTGTCCTAAGGGAACTATGCAATGTTAGCATTATACATTTATATAGACTCCATGCAGGTGACGTTTCTTAATTTTTTATATAAAATAATAAAAGAGCAGGGTTTGTTTTTAAATAATGTTGGTGATGTGAGGTAGAGTTCAGCTCTTCCCTTGCTATTGAAAAATTACCTTTTGCTGTCTGGTCCAATTGAATTATATCTGTTGTAATTTCAATGTACGATTTTTTTTTTCATTCCTACCAACTAAGTAACACTTTCAGTGCATTTTAATATAATACTGATTGGGGTTTGAGTTTTTTTTGGTTTGCCCTTGATGATGTTGCTTTAATGAGATGAAACTGAATAGCTTTGAGTAGATTTCCCTGGAGCTTCCAACTTTTATGCCCCTTATTCCTCCTCCAAGATGGAGGGAGAAAAAAGTATTTTGTTATTTGGTCAAATTTTATGACTTGTGTTATATCAGACTCAAACTTTCTAAAAACATAAAAACTGTGAGAGACAGTTCAGATTCCAAATTTCAGGAGTTTCTTGTGAAGAATAGCCAGGATAAATATCTGCTTTTCACCGTGCCTCATCAAGTCCAAATGTTTCTAAAAAATCCCTTCAAAGTACAAAGACAGTGCCCTTCTCCAAATTTTGAGGGTTGGTGACTATATAAGCATTATGCACAGCTTAGTGATAAGTGTGAGGTACAAGGTGAGTGTGTGTGTATACACACGACTGTGTTTTAATAGAATGTTAAGAGTCACTTCAAGGTGTCATTTTCACAGGTTTAGTTACTTTCTTCAGAAATTGAATCTATTAGAATTTGAGACAGCCTTGGTGAAAAGAGGTTGGTCAATATATACAAATATACGGTTAGATAAAAGGTATAAATTCTAATGTTTGATAGAGTACATGACTGTAGTTAGCAACAATGTATTGCATATTTCAAAGAAGCTAGAAGAGAGAATTTGAAATGTTCCCAACACATAGAAATAATAAATTCTCAAGGTGATCGATAACCCAAGTACTGTTACTTGATCATTATACATTCTGTGCATGTAATAAAATATCACATGTACCCCATAAATATGTAACATATTATGTATTTTTAAAATTGCCTTGAATTTTGACATGAGATTATGATCATTTAAGAGCAGTATAAGACATGAAGCCATGTAGGGCTCTCTCTGCTTTTCTAAAATCCGTTCCAGTGCAAAATAATAATTTAATGTGTGTCAGCAGATTGGTAATAAAGAGTCTGGCATCCATCCTTTTACTTATTAAGTATTTATTGTGCACTTACTATGTGTCTGATGCTGTACTCGGCGCTGGGGATGCAAAAGTTTAATATATAGACCTGGTCTCTACCGTTAAAGAACTTGTGGTTTAGTAGGGGACACATGCAGGACAACAGGCAATTATAATGCAGAATGAGAGGTTCTCTGATGAAGGAAGTACAAGGGACTGTGAAATGACATAAGAAGGGCTCATGAGGAAGCAGATGGCTAAACTGAGACCTGAAGGCTGAGGAGGAGGGAAGAAGAATGAAAAGTATTCCAAGCAGGGAGAATGGTAGTCAAGACGACGGTTAGTCCCACCTCAGTTATTTAGTAATTGGGTGACTTTAGGAAAAAGTCTATCTTAGATATTTTATTTTCCTTATCATTCTGTGGGAGATGGAGATGGTGGCCATAGTGGATACTGCCGCTGGTGGGAAAAAAATGATAGCAGTTAATATGTATTGAGCACTATTATGTGCCATGTAGTGTACTAAGCCTTTTCCATGCATTAGTTACCTAATTAGGGTTTTGAAATCACCTTTTGAGGTAGGCACCATTATTATCTGTTTCACAGATAAGCAAAGAGAAATTCAGAAAGGTTAAGAAACTTGCTCAAAGTCACCTTATTAGCAGTAGAAAAGCCAGGATTTGAAAACAGACAAGTTTAACTTAGAACCTGTGTTTCGCACTATTACTATACTATTCATAATCTAGCTTTCATAAGCTGATAAAAGATGAGCAGGATAATGGATTGAAAGGACTTTTTAAACTACATGGAACTCTATACTATCATTCTGCATTTTAAACTGGGGCATGAATCATGTGGTTGGTAGCTAGTCCAGAATAAAAAGTAAAAATGATTGCAGCAATATATGGGCTGCCATTTCTTGATTTGTTAGCAATGCCTCTAATTCTATGACCTCAACACATTAGTAGTCAAAAGTGGCATTTCCTAGGGGACATTTTTTGAAGCAACAGAACATTAGATAAGATGGACCATGGGTTTGCTCCTAAATGGCAACTGCTATGTTAGAAAGTTCTCAAACATTCCTAAGATCTTTAATCTCTGTTAATCACTCCATGCCCCTCTGTGACTGCTCAGCACAAAATGAAATGGAGGCTTGGCAATTATCCAATTCCTTTGAAGACTCTTGCCTCTTAATGCGGATAATCCAAAGCTCCAATTGCACTTTAAAAAATTCTAGATTACCAGGTTCACTCAGGTATACATACTCTCTACTCTGCCTCCACTTTTTTTTGCCAAATAGACCTTTTTCCTGTCACTTCTATGTTTCTGATAATTCCCAGTGTGCTCCCTGCATTTATCTCAACTCTAATCAGCCATCGTATTGTGAACTTAGGACAGTCTGTACAATTGTCCTGTAAGCAGGTCCATGTTGCTGGCCAACACATTAGCAGTCATTGGGAATTGTTGAGAATGTTTGGAGAGAGGTGGTCACACAATCTTTTGGCACAAAGAGCATGTCTCCACTACAAAGGCAAAGACTGGTTCTACAGTAGGTGGAACCACAATGAATCAAAATAATGAATTCTTCTGCATCATAGTTCAATTCCAGAGGCTAATTGTTAATTTAAGTCCTGCTCATGGCCTGATAACAGGGCTTTCCTTTTGGAAACTTGACTGAGCTAGTGTGAAAGGCAAGACTGTTATTCAGATATACTAGTGAAATGCAAACAGTTTCACATATTAATGGTAACTAATGACCTGTAGTCAGGCTATGATTTGTTAGGTTAAAAACAAAGGCACAATTAGTTTATTTGTTCAGGAGTGTAAACAGAGGGCTTTGTCAATCTGTAGATTGTTCTTCTCCATTGGAGACAGTAGGCTGGAGCATTCCACTTAAGCTGTGGCATTTGAGGACTGCATTTTCCTATCTTGAGATTCTCCCAGCTTCCTGTCCCCTCATAAGCCTGCAGCCTTAATCAAAAGGGAATGAAGAGGATGCTGTTATTGGTCCCCTTTCTCTGTGGCTTTGCTTTTTGATAAGTGAACCACTTTAATTTTAATTTTTTTCTTTCAGTTCCACTCTGGTCTCATGCTTCAAATAGCTAATTTTCTCAAAGCATCACCATTTCTTCAGCAAACATGTAACACATAATTGAGGTCAAATTATGCTCCAAATGCTCTCCTAGACCTCAAGACTTTTAATGATTATCCAGAGAGTACTGACCCCATCTGCAAAATTTACAACTTCTCCATAGGTGTCGTAAGATTTCCTGTACCACTAACTACTACTTGTAAGCTTATCACTAAAAAAAAAATGAAGAATCTCTTGAAATGTAACAGCTGCTCTGTTGAGATATGCATCTTAGAGAGCAAGGCACTTTGATCTTTTGGGGTGCATCAAAGCTGACAATAGAGATTTTGAGGGATTATAGTGACTCCTTAGAAAGGGTATACCTTGTGTTTTGCCTACACTTATTTAATTTGAGAAAGTGAGTATATTTCAATTCTTAAAGGAAACCATGGCATTAAAACAGAAAATTATTTAATCCTTCATCAAGTAAAAAGAAAAGACTGTGATCCACCTCGTACCACAAAGCAATAATGATGCAGGTTATCCCAGTGAGGCATTTGGATCACTTAAAATCATGATGAAGCAATGATTATGCCTATTATCTATTTTAATAAATGTAAATTGCTGTGGAGAAACAAACCATTTTATGCCACTTGAATCCTTTTCAAGGAAGCCTGAATCCTTTT